TTTTTTTTTTTTTTTGCTTCAAAACCAGGTGAGTTATTTAATAGGGGTATTAATAACCTGATTATAAGATGGAAAAGCGTCATCGATAAGAATGGAGAATATTTCATTTAATAAATATTTTGTTTTGATATATAAGTTGTTTGCGTTTTTTCATCTAAAAAAATGACATTAATTTCTTAACGACCTAACATAATGCTACTAAGTTTCAAGTCAAACAGCCGATAAATGGTGGAATGGTGGTCAATTGAAAAGTGTCTGGAAGAAGAAGAAGAAGAAACAATATAAAAATAGCATGTCTTTCTGCGGAAACATAATTAGGTAACTAAACATTTTTAATATTTTTACTAAACTAGGTTACTAAACATTTTTAATGGAAATATTATATAGTTCACGTTGATTAACACTTTTGCAAGTTGGGTTTCTCTTAAGAATTAGTTTTCTTAACATATTTGGAGATGGAAATGTTATTCAGTTTATGCTACTAAACATTTTTGAAGGTGGAAATACGATTGAGAATAAGGTCACTAAATGTTTTTCTAGCTGCAAAGACTTTTTTTTATAAAACAGGCCACTCAAACATGTTTTGCAGTTATAGAGACTATGAAAAAATGCGTCAGTAAATGCATCTTTCAGCTCTATAACAATTAAGATCTACGTTTCTAAACTATTTTTGGAGACAGAAGTACTATTGAAAATTAAGTTGCTAAATACGTTGCTTAAACGGTTTGATGAAATATTTATAAATCAATGCATCTTTAATTTTTCTTTAAATTATCATGAGAGGTTTATTTGTTGGTTAAGCGCAAAGGGCTATCTGTGCTGTACCCTCCGCCGACATCCAAACCCGATTGTTAACGTTACAAGTCCTTGAGCTTGTCGCTGAGTCACCGAGGGGCGTCACGAGAGGTATTTGAAATTTTACTATTAACATGCGATCATTAAATGAGCAATAATAAGAAGCTAAGTATGTAAATAATCGAGTTTTTTAACAACTTACCTGGAAAATCTCTAAACATTTGAACTACTTACTCGAGGAACATTTTTTATAATGAAATACAACAAACAATGAGACGTGTAGAAACATTTATAAATAAATTTGAAATTTTGTGTGTACATCCGTAGAAACTGCCAGTTTAATTTTTTTTTATTTCATACTACAGTCACACTTGCCTTTTAGCACAAACGCTCGAAGATTGGGCACGCCTTGAAAAATCCCCATAGCAACGGGAACATTGAACTCATTATATTTCCAACTGCCATTATCTTTTGATGAAACAAAATGAGGATTCTACTATATATAACCTTTTCTCTTCCATGTATACACCAATGTTTTAGTCGACATTTCGCCTGGCTGGAATTTATGGGAAGACATCGTCTGCATCGAAAATTGTAAAATAATATGATATTTTTCCCAGTAAATGGAATAATTATGTTCAGATGATAATAATACGAAGCAAGTGTTTGAGAACAGGGGTATCAGGGTTGATTACACCTATGATAATAATACGAAGCAAGTGTTTGAGAACAAGGGTATCAGGATTGATTACACCTATGATAACAATACGAAGCAAGTGTTTGAGAACAAGGGTATCAGGGTTGATTACACCTATGATAACAATACGAAGCAAGTGTTTGAGAACAAGGGGTATCAGGGTTGATTACACCTATGATAATAATACGAAGCAAGTGTTTGAGAACAAGGGCATCAGGGTTGATTACACCTATGATAACAATACGAAGCAAGTGTTTGAGAACAGGGGTATCAGGGTTGATTACACCTATGATAATGAAATTAATTTTATGTATTTTGTTTCTTGTCACGCACCTGGTTTTTCCAACTTTGTGTTTAAAATTTTACATATTTACGGTAAAAAATAAATATCAAGGATTAAACATTACGGAACTAATTTCATTGTATATTTTGAAATAAACAGGTGAATATGAGGTGTAGGGGTATAAATCGTCTGCTTAGAGTCGGAAAATATTTGTTCAGTTGAGATTAATAAAAGTTTAGGCAAACAGTTATCTCAGTCATTACTTTGATAGGAACTTCGTTCGGTTTGTTATACATGTTAAGAATACAAACTTGCTTTTGGACAACGTATTCGTATTTAGGAAAGAAAAAATTAGACCGAAAAAGTCTTGTGACGTGACATGAAGCTAATGCATCTACAAGAGCGAAGAAGAAGACATATTTCTTGTCTACACAAAGCTGTCATTATTCTCTAGATGAGCTGCTAGACTTAATAATTATGCTAATAATTATTATACTTTTCTTCATTTATCAAAAGCATCTTGATTATGTATTTGTGGCGAATGCTAATAATTGTGAATAACGATACCTGTCTTAATTTGTTAAAAACATCTTGTTGATGTACCTTGGATTTGTAACGAAGTAGAAAACCAGCACCAGAAAATCGAACAAAGAAGGTAGAGGGCACCACTTACTCTTTGCATGGGACTCGTGTGCTCACATAAGATAAATGGTACCAATCAATATTTGACAGTATGCAATACACGTTGAAACCAGGAAAGTAGTGATAGAAAACTTTTGCCCTGAAGAACTCGTTTGCGTTATCTGTATTCTTTGAGAAATTAAAACGGTTGTTATAGTAAAGCTTCAGTGGAACACTTCGAGAAATCGATCTTTAAGCTAATTAAAACGGAAGTCGTCCATGTAATTGCTGGTCGTAAAATAAAATGTAAGTATATACTTTGATCCACTTTTTGGTAATTTTATTTGACACCAAAAACTCTGAAAAATAGGACGTTATTTCTTTCCGTTATGTCTCTTGTGTTTTAGTAGAAACCCACACAATTGGCTATCTCAGGTCTGTACACCACGGGGAATCGAACCCCAAATTTTAACGCTGGGAGTTCGTAATCTTAGCGCTGACCACCGGGGGATAATTATTACTCCAAGAAATAAGTATAAACATTTTTGAACCTTCATGTCGGGTCACCCGGCATGGCCAGGTGGATAGGACGCTCAACTCGCAATCTGCGGGTTCGCATCCCCGTCCCACCAAACATTCGTT